TGATAAATTTGGTATGGTTGGACTTGTGGGTGAAAGGGCTTTCTAGTTTTGTAATTTTTGTCGGATTTCGAGACATGGGCCCGCGAGGCCGGGTTTGGGTGAATTTTGGGATTTTGGTCTAAATTGATAGTTTTTCGTGTGGAATTGGTTCCTTGCCCTATATTGACTGCATTGTATTGCTTTTGGTTAGATTCGAGACGTTTGGAGGCCGATTCCAGAGGCAAGGGCCTCGCGGAGTAGGATTTGGCTTGGTTTGAGGTAAGTAACGCTTCCAAACTTGGTTCTGAGGGTTCGAAACCCCGCACTATGTGTTATGTGATTAGTACTAAGGTGACACAAATGCCAAGTGACGGGCGTGTGGGCATGCACCATGAGAATTGTGGCCTGGTTCATTCCATGACACTGCTTAGTGACTCTTTCTTGCTGATATCCGTGATTCTGTTATGTGGTTAAGTAAATGCGCTGTAAATCATGCTAAATATCATTTAGGGCTTCACACCGATACTGTTGAGACCCGAGTGGTTGTTTCTTGCTGTCATCTCATTTGTTTCATTGATATTCTGTAATCAGTCTTATTCATGCATATCATATCATGTCACAGTCTCAGTTATTATTTTGGCACATCAGATCATTGTTTCAGGATAGTTTCATGGTATTGTGAGCCTGTGTATGTGTGAGACTGGAGAGTGATGACTGAGTTAGGCCGATAGCCTGATTATGAGTGATAGTTATGGGATCGGGCTACATGCCGCAGTAGTTATGTTGATGATTATTATAGCGCTTGGGCCATAGGAGCCCTTCCGGAGTCTGTAACACACCCCCAGTGAGCGCAGTTGATATTTTGAGGTATGGATCTTCCCTGGACTTGGATCTTGTCCGAAGTATTTATACCTGGAGATGGATCTCCTCCATAGGGCTGGAATGGCCTTCCTCGGTACTGAGTGACTGTTGTCAGTGATGTGTATATATTCCGGGATGGATCTTCCCTGGGCCGGATGGCCATATACAGTACCGAGTGGTTGGGCACTTGAGAGTGGAGGTACATGGTACATTTTTACGCATTCTGTGCATTGACACGTAGAGATTAGCTGAGCTTTATACTTCACATTGTTCAGATCTGTATTTACTTTACTGTTGAGCTGAATGCTTGAATTGCAAGCATCCCTACTTTACTGTACAGTTTAATTGTGTTTACCTGTTGAGGTTTAGTTCGTAACTACCTATCAGTCCATTGTTTGGACTTGTTACTGACTGAGTTGGTGTACTCACGTTACCCCCTGCACCTTGTGTGCAGATTCAGGTATCTCAGGCCACGGTAGCGGCTGCTGACTATTCCAGTCGCGGACTTTCATCGGAGATAGCGACGCAACTGCTTGGCAATTGCAGTCTTGCCTTTTTCCTTTTTTATCCTCCTTTTAGTGTATTTTGGCTACTCTGAGACTATGTTAGTCTTGCTATATTTCAGAATTGTTTAAGTATTTGCTCATGACTTAGTGACACCCGAGGTCGGGCTTTTATTTTCGCATTTTGGTTTTTGAATTAATCTCTTTTACGAAATTTCAGGTTGAAAAAGGCTATTATCTAACTTAAGATGAAATATTCAATTGTTTGGGAGTATGTCAGCTTGCCTAGTTCCATGATAGGTGCCATCACAACCGGGTTGGTTTTGGGTCATGACAGCCGGAGAACTCCCTTGCAATGTGTCTGGTCGACGACGAATAGTTTGCTCTCCGTGTTACCTACTCATTTAGTTATTATCTAGCTATTTATTTTCAACCACCTCAATCACCATCTCCGTCGAAACTTTCTTCCTACCAAGCCCATTGGCACAGACAAAAGAGATAAAAAATGGCATTTCACCCCTGCTTCTAATTGTGACCTTAACCATAAACCACAATCACCCCCTTAGTTGACAAAAAACATACTCCAAAAAGAAGTACTCCAAACACTTTTTTTAAGCAACTATACCACTAGGCAGGCTGCCTGGTGGTTATTATATAAATAAAATCTCAAAAATGGGTCCAAAGCTTACAAGATGTTGTTAATACCAAATTTTTCCCTATATATTTTTAAACATGCAAACTACTTTCAAAATAGCATGAGCATGCCTATATAAGTATGCCCAAATGTTTTACTATTTTTTCTTAATTTTTAAGGATTTTAAATCAATTTATTGCCTTATTTTATCCAGAAAAACTCAATAATTATTCCCAAAATTATCATTTTTTGGCGATTAATTTATTAGATTTTCATATTTATATTAAAATGTAGCTAGTATAATTTTTACATATTATTACAAATTTGTTTAGTATTTTTAAAGCTAAATTGCATATTATTTTTTTTAAGCAATCCACTAGGCAGTGCCTAGGGCTAGTTTTTATTTATATAAAAAAAAATCAAAACATAGTNATTTGAGTCCTTCCTCTACCATGCTTCCCATTTTTACCACTTCATTAAAGGACTTTCCTACCGCGAACACCAAATGACCGAAATAAGTGGGCTCCAAAGCCTGCAAGAAATAGTCAACCATTTCACTCTCTTTCATCGGAGGGTCAACCCTCGCTGCTTGCTCTCTCCAGCGGAAGCCATATTCTCTGAAACTCTCACCGGACTTTTTCTCAATCTTCGTCAATGACAGACGGTATGGGACGATTTCAAGATTATACTGAAAATGGCAGGCGAATGCTTGGGCTAGATCGTCCCATGTGTACCACCGACCATGATCTTGTCGGGTGTACCATTCCAAAGCTGAGCCACTTAAACTTTGACTGAAATACGCCATCAGTAATTCATCTCTCCCGCCTGCTCCTCTCATCTTGCTACAAAAACCTCTCAGGTGTGCCACTGGATCACCATGCCCGTCGTACAAATCAAACTTGGGCATCTTAAACCCTGCCGGTAATTGAACATCTGGGAACAGACATAGGTCTTTATACGCCACACTTACTTGACCACCTAGCCCCTGCATGTTCCTGAAAGATTGCTCCAAGCTCTTAACTTTCCTAATCATCTCCTCTTGCTCGGGATTCTTAGGTGGCTTCTCAGTTTCTGCCGGGAGATCAAAATAAGGAGTGTAAGAACATGGTTCTGGCTCTTTGAAGGTAGGTTCTGGGGGATAATAATGGTTGTCGTGAGTCTGGAACAGAGGCTCACTAGAAGATCGGTGTAATGCAGCACGTGGAGGTGCCACAAAAATAGGAGTGATTAGTGGAGGAGGGTATGGGACTTGTTTGGGTTGTGAAGCTGGTGGTGTTTGGGAAGTGGTGCCATAGCATTGTTGGTAAGTGGGAAAGGCTGGAGATGAATTCACAGTAGGAAGCTCCTGAGGTTGAGCCAATGCTGGGATATAAGCAGAGTTGGCGGGATAAACCGGTGGTGGATGCCCCTTTGCCCAGGCCTGGTACATTTCAGCCATTTGCTGCTTCAGCTTATGCTTCTCTTCTTTCATCGCATTAACATCCTATTCTTCCGCCTCTTTTGACGGGTCGACAATACTCACCTCTAGTTCTTGGTTGGCCATGTTCAACTTGTCCTTGGACCGGGTGTTGTAGGAGTGAGGTGCCAGAATGCCAATCAACTAACCACCTGTCTGGACTCAATACATCAACAACGACCTTGTTAGCGATTAGGGCTTTAACAGATTGGTAACCGCACATTTTGGGGAATGAATGCACCTAAGCAGTTAACCGTTTCAATTATGCATTTGATCGGTTGCTCGCGTCATCCCGGCTTTCTTTGTTTCCATTTGCAACTTTTTTTCTTTTCGTTTCCTTCTTTTCATTCTTGCCTCTGCTTTCTCTTTGTTTTTATTCCCTCATTTCTCCCTCTTGTTTTGCCATTGTTTCCTTCTCTCGGTTTCTTATTTTCTCTCCTTTTCTTTTCTTTTTCTCTCTTGTTTTTCCCCCCCTTTTCTTTTCCTCTTTTTCATTTGGTTACGGTCGAATCCTATGGAGATTGCCTACGTATCATGACCCCGCATAAATCAGACCAAGCGTAGTTCTTGGGGATATAAATGAAAAATAAATAACAGAAATATTTTTGGATTTTCAATTTTTCATAAAAGCAAATACTTTGATTACAATGACTCGAAAAACTTACAGACTCTAAAGAAACTAACAGACTCTGAAAAGATGAAAATACTGACTCATAAAGAATTAACAGACTCAAAACAAACTGACAAACTTTAACAGCAAGAAAGTACAGACTCAAGCAAAGGTCACGAATACATTAATGCCTCGAATGCTCCTGGGGCCCGCGGGGCATCATTCGGCCTCGCCACAGGCCTATATGCAAGATCCCCTTGGAGCCTTTCCAAATCACTCATTATTTGCCGGACAAATGTCATCACTGCCGCAAAGAAAGTGGTGCGGGTCATATCCTCACATGCTTGACACTTCACAACAATGTAATCGGCAATGGCCCAGACCCTCTCTCGGATTCTACCCTTTTCCTGAAGCAATTGCCCTATTTGCTGACTCCGGGCTTCTAACACTTGAGAGTCGTGAAGGTGTTGATTTTGAAACTGTTGTATTTCTTCCTCCATGTGAGCCATCAAATCATAACAGTGTTCCCTATATCTTTAAAATCCTCGGCTTGCTTGATCATTTTGTTCTCAAAAGTGACGACCCTTTTCTTTAACCCCGCAACCTCATTGTCGTATTGCTCTTTTAACTATCTAACCAGGCGTGCTCGTTCTTCCGCATTCTTAGCCAGTTGTGTTCGAGCCCTGGCTAATTCACCCTCTGCTTTGTTCAAATCAAAACCATAATCATCCACTTTCTGCCTGAGGTTTTTTATAAGCTTTTCATCCTTTGCACATCTGGCGGGGTTTTCGGCTGCTGCTTTCATTTCTCTAAATTGGGCTCGAAGGGCTTCATTTTCTCTGGCTAGCTTCTTCTATTCACCCTCATCCGCCGCGGCTTGCAAACCATTCTCATATTGAAGGTCTTGGACTTGCTTTTCTAGCCTTCTTATGGTGGCCCTGTATTCATTCTCCTTGGCTAACCAAGCCCACTGTTCTTGTGATGACTCGACAAATTCCTGAAGGTGGGGTCTTTTGGCCGGCCTCCCAAACGCAATTTCCCTTCTATACCAAGCATGGTACCCTGGTGAAACTCTCCTTTGGATCGATCACGTACACAGGTATTTGCCGCCAAGTATTGACGCTCGCTCCAAATCTGGCGAATTGTCGCTTCATGAAACTGGCCATCAGGACCAATCTCAACTACTTGGGCACTAAGATCTTCACTTTTGGCACTATTTGGCATCTCCCGAGCTGTCTCAAAACCCAATACGGGGCATAAGGCTGGATGCTCCTGAGACCCATCAAGAGGAAGTGAGGCCCGGTAGCTGGCATATATATGATCTCATTCACAGGCAACTATCCAAACGTCCACTCTATTTGGCTAGCACTGACGGAACGGAGGTGTGATATCCATCCTGTGACCCCTTCTGGCAAGCTGATCCCATCGACCCTCGTATAAAATTCCTCTATGCAGGTTTTCTCTGTTGACCCATAACTCATGAATTGAGGACGATGGCATAGGTGTTCAATCATCNTTCTTCTAGACAGAATCTCAAACAACTTTTCTTGCATTCCATCCTTCTCCTTCTATCACATCAAACACATTATGCACAGATTCATCTACCCCAAACTCTTGTGGAACCAGGAAATACAAAGCCCCCAAACCTGTCCAATTGTCAAACCAAAACAAAGAGGAGCCCATTTTTGGTTGCCACATAATCTGATGCTCTATCAAATCCCTGCACTCCAACATCTTCCTCTATATATGAGAGCCTCACCTCCATGGAACTATCACAGAGTTAAGCTTTTTACAGTACTTTTGGCTCATAAAAGAGCACCAAAGACTAGGCTTGGTTCTATAGTTCCACCACAGTTTACAAAAGAGTGCTTGTGCTACATCATGAAGAGACCTGAACCCAATCCCTCCTTCTTCCTTTGGCATGCATAGTGTAGTCCATGATGCCTAATGTCTGTTACTACTTGTGACTGAGCTACTCCAGAAAAATTGAGCAAAAATCTTGTGCAGTCGAGTGATCACATATTTTGGAGGATTGACAGCTGATAGCAAATGGATTGGCATACTCTGAAGCACATGAGCAATAAGGACTACCCTCCCACCTATGGACAATAATTTACCTTTCCATGATTGTAATCTATCCATTACTTTTGTGAGCATAGGCTGATAGTATTCCATTTTTCTCCTTGAATAAAATATAGGACATCCCAGATATATGATTGAAAATTCTTGCCTCTTTATCCCTGTGATCATCTCCACTTTATTTGCCACTTCTATATTTGTTAAGTGATGGAGATATACAGCAGATTTTGCCTTGTTCACCAACTGTCCAGAAGCTGATTCATAATGTGCAAGTACCTCCATGATCAGTCTAAGTGATGTTGCATCTGATGAGGAGAAAATGATCATGTCATCTGCATAAGAAAGATGATTGATCTTTGGACTCCACTTAGGCAATCCATAGCCACAAAAGTATAAGTTCAAATGCAGTGCATTAAGGCCTCTTGAAAGTGCTTCTGCTGCCAAAATAAGCAATATAGGAGACAAAGGATCTCCTTGCTTTACTCCCCTCGTTGATTTGAAAAAGCCATGAGCTTAGCCATTTATTAGGACTGAACACCAGTTGTTTGACACTATACCAAACACCATTCCTATAAATCTCTCTGAAAATCCCATTTTTCTTAGAACCTTGGTCAGGAATAACCAGGATAGTCTGTCATAAGCCTTAGTCATGTCAAGCTTCATAATGACATTAGGTCCTACCTTGGTTCTAAGCCTCATATCTGTGACTATCTGTTGGGTTAATAGAATATTTTCCACTATGCTCCTTCCTTTGACAAAGCCTGACTGTTCCTCAGATATTAGATTAGGTTACAACCCACCAGTCTCTCATGTATTACCCTTGATATCACCTTATTTGAGAAGTTACTAAGGCTGATAGGTCTAAGATCAGAAAATGTGCATACTTCTTTCTTCTTTGGAATCAGAACAAGGTTGGTGTGTGTAACACATTTTGGCAAGTCATGACCATTGAAAAAGGCTCTAACCATGTCAAATAAATCATCTCCAATAATCTCCCAACAGGACTGATAAAATTTGCCTGTAAAGCCATCAGGACCTCCTGCACCGTCTCCATTCAATCCAAACACAGCTGCCCTCACTTCTTCCATAGTTGGCTGCTTTATTAGTTCTTCATTCTGCCCCATGTCAATCAATGTAGGAACATTGTCTATGATATGAAAAGAGGTAGGGATTGAGTTTTCTGTAAATTGCTCTTCAAAAACCTTGATTGCTTCTGCAGCTATTTCTTTCCTCCTCTTCAATCCACACTCCTTGCCTGTTTTGAATTCTGTTTAATTGCAGCTTCTTCCTTCTACCTCTTACATGAGCATGGAAAAATTTGGTGTTCCTATCCCCATCCTTGAACCAAGCCATCCCTGCCTTCTGTTTCCAGTATTTTTCCTCTAAAGCTAAGAACTTGATCAAAACTGCTTGAACCTTTTGTAATCTCTGTCTGTTTAACTTTGTGGGATTTGCTTCAAACTCAGCTTCATGTACAAGAACAACTTCCTCCAAGCTTGCAACCTTCTGGAAAATATCTCCAAAAGTCTCCTTGCTCCACACTGATAAGGCCTTTTTCAATTTCTTCATTTTGTGATTGAAGATGATGTATGGATTGGCACTAAAATCAGCTTTCCAGTTCTCCTTCACCAGTTCTTTAAAAGAAGCATGTTCCACCCAAAAATTCAGGAATCTAAATGGCTTCTTCATAGGAGGAGTCTCTTTGTCACACTTGAGTTGCAATGGACTGTGATATGAACCTATTTTAGGTAAATGCTGTACCTCTATACCTGGGAAGGTCTGCTGAAACTCAGAGTTGGCCACTCACCTGTCTAGTCTCTCAAAGATACAATCCTCTTCTGATCTACCATTCCACCAGTGTAAATACTACCCTTGAATCCCAGATCAGAAAGATTGCAGGTGTTAATACATTGCCTGAAGTCATCAATTTCATTAATATGTGTTGGAAGACCTCTAAATTTTAGGTTCTGGGTTCTTTTTCCCAGCAGAGTCGCCAGAGCTGTCACACCTCCTTTTTTACTACACCCCGGAAGGGTATAATAAGGGGAATTTTTCCAATTAAAGGACAATCGAAACGGAATTTATTTATTTAATGAATTCAGAGTCGCCACTTGGGAGATTTATGGTGTCCCAAGTCACCGGTTCAAATCCCGAATCGAGGAAGAGATTGACTCTGTATTACAGTCCGTGAACCAGAAATCCGGGTAAGGAATTCTGTTAATCCGGGAGAAGGTGTTAGGCATTCCCAGGTTCCGTGGTTCTAGCACGGTCGCTCAACTGTTATAATTGGCTTGATTATGAGATTTTAAAACATTTTTGAACCTATGTGCAATTTTACTTTATACCCGCTTTTAATTAATTAATTAAAGGAAGATTGCAACGGCATTTAAAATATGTTTCGGACCGCGTCACATAAATGCACCCGCAGTCCATAACATATTTTATCTAACGTTGAGATTTGGATTTGGGTCACATAAATGTGCACCCGAGTTTAGGAAGGTTAATTATTAAAATAACGCGCCTAAAGCAACTACGCGTTTGCAATTTTGCGAGGGCCATGAAAATTCGCTAAATGGCGCGCCTCGATTTCTAAGGATAAAAGTATTAATTAAACGAGGGCCATGCAATTGAGATTTTATTCGGCACGGCACACCTCGACTTCCAATTTTAAAAGGGAATCCCAACTACATTTGGAAGGCCATAACTATTTATGCTATTTAAAATGGCTCGCCTCCACTGATTTAGGAGATTTGATTACTGGAACATTACAGGAATGGGGACTCTATTTTTTGCCTAAGCCAATTAAGAGTGACGTTAAAACTGGAAAGAACGGTTGATGATTTTAAAGTCATATGGGCTGGGTATGGGGCCCAACAGCCTGCGAAGTGCGAGGCTGTCCCAGATTAGTAATGTTTGTGGCGAAATCGCATTGGGCCTACATGAAAGCCCAAATTGGGAANGCTCAACTGTTATAAGTGGCTTGATTATGTGATTTTAATATATTTTTGAACTTATGTGCAATTTTACTTTATACCCGCTTTTAATTAATTAATTAAAGGAAGATTGCAACGTCATTTAAAATATGTTTCGAACCGCGTCACATAAATGCACCCGCAGTCCATAACACATTTTATCTAACGTTGAGATTTGGATTTGGGTCACATAAATGTGCACCCGAGTTTAGGAAGGTAAGTTATTAAAATAACGCGCCTAAAGCAACTACGCGTTTGCAATTTTGCGAGGGCCATGAAAATTCGCTAAATGGCGCGCCTCGATTTCTAAGGATAAAAGTGTTAATTAGTGAGGGACACGCATTTGAGATTTTATTTGGCGCAGCGCACCTCAATTCCATTATAAAGGATATTCAAACTAAAGCTCGGAGGGCCATAAACTATTTATTATCTAGTATGGCTCACCTCCACTGATTTAGGAGATTTGATTACTGAAATATTACAGGAATGGGGACTCTATTTTTGCCTAAGCCAATTAAGAGTGACGTTAAAACTGGAAAGAACGGTTGATGATTTTAAAGTCATATGGGCTAGGTATGGGGCCCAACAGCCTGCGAAGTGCAAGGCTGTCCCAGATTAGTAATGTTTGTGGCGAAATCGCATTGGGCCTACATGAAAGCCCAAATTGGGAATAGGCCGGCTGCACCAAACCACGGGATTCCATTTCGAATTCCCCATAACACAAAACGTCAACCAACTGCTTTCAAAATTACAGACCAAGTCGTTTTAAGAAACTCCAATAATTAAAGAATCCGCAAGTTTATCAAAACCTTATTATTCAAATCCATGCCAGCTTGAAATCCTTATTCAAAAGCTAAATAATGGCTTATGACTTTTAAACTTACAACTCTGATTTAAACCTGTCTCTTAATTTTTAGATTTAAGGGAGGAGGAACTGTAAACAACCAAATTTATTGCTAAAATCTCATGAAATGAATTGCATGCACATGTAAGTCATTACTTATCAATGGTGAGAGATCAGTATAATAATCTAAACCTGGCTCAACGGACTAATAGGTTTCATGCTTCCCTTAAGATAGAATGCAACATGAAACTCCAAAAATCACATTACACTACTACTACTTCAGAAATGAATAAGTAAGAGAGTCACTATTACTGCAGGAATTCTTAAAGAGAAAAACAAAACATAGCTAACAATCATGGTTCAAAAAACAATGTTCATTTCTAAGATCTTCAAACAATTACAGCTTTCCAAACTTGCATCTCATATATTCAGAAGATCAAAGAGTACCTGGAAATTGAAAAAGGAAAGTAAAACTGAGGCAGCAATAAGCAACAGCAAACAGCCCAGATCCAACCACTCAGCAATGAAACAGTGAGATCCCTCAGAAAAACTCAACAGAACAATGAACCAACCAACAAAATTAAACCAGCTCTTTCCATAACCATACTCAACCCATTTTTATCACCAGATTCTCAGTTTTTCAGAAATTTTCCAGAAATTTAAAACCAACAGAATGATTCAGAGAATTAAAACCAAGTAACCAACACCAACTCCAATGACTTTCAGCAATTGAAAACTAAAGATCAAAGAAGGATTTCAATGGAACAGTAGCTTTCTATGAATTTCTTAGTTATTTTAATTTTCAGATTTTTAGAGGGTTAATGGCTGCCTAGAATGAAGGGTAAGGGGTCTTTATATAGGCATGCCTAAGGCAGCCCTAGCCTGACTAACCAGTTCCCTCTTTACCCCCTCTTTCTCGATTGTTTTACCCTTTTTACCCTTTTAAAATATCTGAAAACCCTCTACTCTTTAACAAACTAGCTCTCATCTTATCCTCTAGAGCCTTCCTCCTAACAGAAATGATTTCCTTACACCAAAAAATCCCTAAATTGACCTCTGCCCAACCAGTTATTACGACCCCTGTCCTCTCCTTTGAGACCCCTTTAAGTTTCTAGCCTTACAATTAACCCCTCTATAGATTCATGAGGAGTGACAAACAGGACTACTCAAACACAAAGGCTTCAATCAGATCAAAAGTAAAATTCTCAAAACTTAGAAAATTTTGACAACTTCAAAAATTGAAAACAAGCTGACCATGAACCAAACACAACAAGACTCCACAGAATTGCTAAGCCAATACTTAAACAGAAACAAAATCCGCAAAACTTATTACAATTAAACTGAAATGATTGTTGAAATCTCAATGACCAACGATTCAATCATGAACTTAACAGGGAAGAAGAAAAGAGAGGGAACACGAATAAAGCACAAATGTATCTGAGAACAGAATCAAGGGCAAACCTCTCTGGATAGAAGCCAATGGCTAAAAGCATCGCGAGATAAACGGAACTTGAGGATAATCAGTCGTTCCTTGATAAGAACAACCAATTAGTCTCTAATTCCGGTTAAATTGGAGTTTGGTCATGAAATTGACATGAGCAAAGGCTATAGATATAGGGATTTGGGTTCTAAATGGTTTGGGGAAGGTAAGGTTTAGGTCTGATTTTCGATTCAAGATTCGAGTCGACCTAGGGGGATTCGAAGGGCATGGGTTAGGGATTTGGGAAGAGGGAGTAATAAGGGTTCCGGGGTGTATTTTTGGGGCAGTTTGGTAGTGGCGCCGCCACAGATTCTAGGGTTCATGACTTCGAACAAAAATTCGAGGAGTTTGGGTGAATTTTGAGGGAAACGTGGTGAAGATCTGAGACGAGAAGGCGGAGGAGGAGTGGTGGTGTTATTTTCACGGCGATTGAATGCCGGCCGCCGCTGTAGGCAATTTCCGGTGGGCGGCAGGCGGTGGCTCAGGGCGGAGTTATGAGAGACGGTCATGGGGGGGGGGGGGGGTTCTGAGAGGGGGGGGTAAGGGAGTTAGGACAGTTTTATATCAAGTGACCCCTAGTTTGGAGCCGTTGTATCATCTAACCTAGACGGCTAGGATTAACCTCACATGAAAGGGGTCGTTTGGTCTCGAAGGGAGATGGGTCGGGGAAATTGGGCTGGGTATAGAATGGGGTTTGGGCTGGAATTGGGGCGGGTTTGGCCAGCTCTTGGGGAAAAGAACATTGGGCCTGAGTGAATTGAGGATGAATTGGCCCAAAAACTGAGATCTCTTTTTTTCTTTGTCTTTTTCTTTCATTTTTCTTTCTCTTTTTTTTTCAATTTTTCTGATTTCTTTTAAATTCTTTTTAAATTGAAATAAAATAAAAACAAACCTAAATTAATCCCTAATCAAATTATCCCATCAAGTTAAGTTAATTACTACATCTAACACTTATTACACCTAATTAAAACCAAATTAAAAAGGAATACCAAAATTCCAAACTAAAATTAAAGTGTGAAAATAAACTTTTTTTGTGTGATTTTCCTTTTGTAAAATAAATACTTACTAATTAATTCTTAAAAATGCAAAGTCAAACCCTAAATGCAAACGCAACATATTTTTTTGTATTTTTCACTAATTAAAATGTATAGACAAAATGCAAACAATTAACAGAAAATGCCACGAAAAATTCACAAAATTGCAAACACTGAAAGGAATTATTTTGTTTTGAATTTATGGGAGTAATTCATATAGGGCAAAAATCACATGCTCACACATATATACGTGTATATAACGCCATCTGGTCATGGGTCAATGTATATGTATAAATGCATGAAATGCATATGAAATACGTTAATAAAATCTCTCGGTACATCATAGGACCATTATGCCT